GGGGGGGCTGCGGGTCTCTTCCTCAGTCTGTGACCATGCAGATTAAACGTGTCCAGGTCCCGCTTCCCCGGGAATGCGTCTCCTCTCTCCTGCGCTGGGATCCTGAGTGCTGGCGTCTGCTCAGGGCTCGGGTCCCGGCCCGCCCTCGGCAGCTCTGTGGAATTCCCCTGCCTGCAGTGGTAGAGGGTGCTCTGGCCCCATGGAGCCGCAGGCCGTCTTCTCGCCGTTGCCTCTCCCCCAGCCGGCTCCTTAGAACCCGGCTCATCTCACAGTGGAGCCGTCGGGCTTCTCTCTGGGAGGCTCCTCCCTGCGGCTTCAGGTCCCGCGGTGACAGCTTGTTTACAGAGCCGTGAGGGAGCCCAGTCAGTTCCCGGCGGGGAGTTCATTGCGTCCTGGCCTTGATCAGATCCCACACCCCCAGGGCCTCTGGTGTTGACATTTCTGTCTTTTGTCTCTACTCTCAGACGCTTCGTCCAGAAGTTGTTTTATTTCCTTGATCTTTTCTGAGAACTAGGTTTTACTTTTAGGGACTTTTCTGCAGTGATTTTCTGTGGCGTTGATTTCCGACGTCTTCTGTGTTGCGTCCACTCTTGCTGACGTGAGTTAATTTCCCCTGCAGTTTCTCTGCGAGGCAGCTCTGGCCGGTCAGCGTCCTGTTTGGCTTCGTCAGCACTTCACGCTGTAACCTCCTCCTGGGCGGCCTGAGCGGCCTCCACACCTGCCTGTCGGCTTTTCATTCCCGTTCAGGGATCACTGGATTCCAATTTGTCTTCTGATTTCTCCTTTGCCCGGTGCCTCATTCAGAATTTTGTCGTTTTAGTTTTCAGAATCGACAGCTTCCTTACTTATCTTTGGTTGCTGATTTCTGACTTAATCTGTGGGCAGAGAAGTGCTATGATTTCAGCCTCGTGAGGAACGTGCTAGGTCGATGGGGTGAGGAGTGGCCACCTCCCCAAGCCCCCTGAGCTCCAGGGCACTCATCCCTCCTGACTGGGAGGCGCTCACGTGGTTTGCCGGGTTTCAGGTGTTTCCATTCCTGACGATTCTGCACTTCCTCTGCCCGTTATCGAGGTAGGGTGCACAGCCATGGCCATGGCCACCTCCTGCTCTCAGCCCCCTAACCCACTCGCGAGGCCCCGGTTGTCACCGGTGCTTCTGACCGACCAGCTGAGAATTCAAGGGGCTCCCAGCACCCCTCCTGCTTCCATAGTTGCTGCAGCGGCTCCCAGAGCTCAGGGGGACACTGACCACACTGGCCAGGTTATTAGAAGACTCGGACAACACAGGAGGCCAATTAGAGAAAGACAAGGTGAGGCGGGTGGTCCAGTGTGGAGCCTCTGTCCCCAGGATTTGGGTGCTTCCTCTCCTGGCCCGAGGGTGGGCTCACACCCAGAGGCCCCCTGACCCTGGTGCTTTAGGGGTACGAGGCTTCATCCCGTGGACACAATCGATCTTGCTTTATCTCATGTCTGCCTTTCATTTTCTTACCCTTTTGAGTATGAGTGGGTCAGCTAGGTGTCAGCCCCCTTTCCTAGTCCATCTACCTGATGCCTAGGCGCCAGTCCTGGTGGCGGCTGCACCCCGTGAGCTGTGATGCGGTCAGTGTCGCATCCACCACGTCCTCGATTTCACGTGTCCCTCTCTCACTTGCGGTCATCAGGAGCTGCTTCCTCTCCAGAGCCGGGGGCCTGTGTGTTGCCGGGTGCCCACTGCTGCCCTGCTCAGGGCTGCCCTGCCAGCGGGCTGTTCCCAGCGCCCTCACAGCGGGATGAGCCTGTGTTCTGCTCGTGTTGTCCCCCCCCCGCCCCGTGTGTGAGAGTGAACTGCGGGGAGGGTAGTGAACTGCGCTCATGTCCCCTCCCCGCTTGTCCACAGGCCTGCGGATGCCCGCGGTACTGGAAGGGGCCGCTTTTCTACGCCGCCGGGGGAGAGCGCACAGGCTCTGTCTCCGTCCACAAGTTCGTGGCCATGTGGAGAAAGTGAGTCCCTGCAGGGAGCCCGTGGGAGGGGAGGGGCTTCACAGCCATGGGGACTGGGGAGGTGGCGCTGGATAGGCCAGCCGGGCCATCGCTCTGTCCCCGCCGTCCTGCCGGGGCCTCTGTTCTTGCGCCTCATGTCAGAGCCCTGTCCCTGGGCTGGGCAGGCGGTGTGGACGCCCAGGTTGAGGATGCAGACGCCCTCTGTGCCTCCAGGATCCTGCAGAACTGCCATGACGAGGCCACTAGGTTTGTTCACCTGCTCATGAACCCTGGCTGCAACTACCTGGTGCAGGAGGACTTCGTCCCCTTTCTGCAGGTAGGCCCTGGCTGCAGGCATGTACCTCACACCCTGTCCGCACCGCACGCCCTCACCCCACCCCTTCTCACGGGTGTGGTCCAGCGTGTGCCCCGCGCACGGGCTGGGAGCCTGGCTCCCTCCCTTGGGTGCTGCCTCCCACGGAGCTGGTCCACTGACTGAGCCCCTCCAGCCTCAGTGCGGGTGGCACACATCCCTGCTGGCTGTGACCTGTGGGATGGAGGAAGGAGCATCCTGGGTGTGGCTCACTCCCTGAAGCAGGTTGTGGGTCACAGGACGTGGTTGAGCAGATGCGCCCACAGCTCAGACACTAGTGCATCATGTACACACTGGCTGGCAGTGACCGGGGTCCACATCAGGTCCCCGGTCCCCGGGGACACCCCCAGGCTGTCCCGGCAGAGTGTTTCAGGGTCCCTGTGACTAGTTCTGCGTGCAGGGCGCCTGTCTCAGGTGCACCTATGCTGTCTGTTCCATACATACCAAATGAACTCGACTGAGGTGAGAGTGGGCCTTTCACGGAAGCCGTCCTGGCCCATGTTCTACCTGGTTTTCCATCCTCACATGTCTGTGGCTGCGTGTGTGCAACAGTGGCCTCGGAGCAGACCATGCAGGGTTCAGGGTGGAGCATCAGCGGTCCCCTGGCACCTCCCATGCAGAGCTGTGTGCTCCCTCTGTACAGGACGTGGTGAACACCCACCCCGGCCTGGCCTTCCTGAAGGAGGCATCTGAGTTCCACTCTCGCTACATCACCACCGTGAGTACTAGGCCCGGGTCCCAGCCCCCAGCATAGTGAGGGAGGGAGGGGGGGGGGCTGGGGCACAGGCTCCATCCCCTCCCAGACCCATCTGCTCACCGTACATGGGCTGTGTCCTCTCAGGGGAGTCCTGCAAGTGGCGACAAGGGGCAGATGTCTGGGCCCGGTGGCCCTGCCAGGTGGCCCTAGTCAGCAGCACAGTGAGGCACAAGCTGGACATTCCCAGACCCCTCCTTCCCCCTCTGGGCAGGAAAGCTTGGCTGCTCAGCCTGAGGATGTCCTAGTTTTAGGGGAGCACCCGCCCTTCCTTGAAGCATCATGTTGTTTGAGCACCAGGCACTGTCCGCCCCGGGACACAGCAGATGCACAGCCCACCTGCCCCAGGACCCAGCACTAGTGAGCACAGCCTGGGGATGACCATCTCTTGCCCACATGGTCCTGTCCCATGGGCAGCTGTCTCCTCTGAGCGAGAGCGGCCCTGGCAGCCCAGCATCTGCTTGGGGCTCGTGCTGGGAGTGCACATCCTGTAACACAAATGCACATGTGAGGAGCCCGTGTGCCATCACTCCACACTCAGCGTGCTCCCCCGTCTCTGTCACGGAGGCTGTCCCTGTGCTGGGTATAAACAAGGCTTTATGTTTACATGTGGGTGCTCCATGCACATTCTCACCCCACTGCACAGGAATAGGTGAGGTCCTGTCCTGGGTGAGGACAGGTGAGGGGATGTCCTAGAGTGAGGACAGGTGAGGTTCTGTCCTGGGAGAGGACAGGTGAGGGGATGTCCTAGAGTGAGGACAGGTGAGGGGACTTCCTAGGAGAGGACAGGTGAGGGGATGACCTGGGAGAGTACAGGTAAGGGGAGAGGACAGGTGAGGATATCCACGCTGGGAGCAGTGCTGAGCCCTGTGCACAGGTGGCCTCGCTGTTTGATGGGATGGGTCACAGTCCCACCTTCATGCTTTTCCTCTGCTGGTCAGTTAGTGTTTGTGGACATGTTTAGAGCATTTTTTTTTTTTAATCAAATGCAGCTGTGAGGACTTTCAGCCTTTTAGGACTGTTGTCCACACCTTCCTCGCAGCTCAGGTGTGTCCATCTCATGCACCTGCCCCCTGCCCCCTGCCCCCTGGGTGCTTCCCTGCTACCCTGGCAGGACCTCCTTCCTGACCGCCTCTCTGATACCTGTGGAGCAGGCGCCCTCTGCCGGCCACGGGGGTCCCTGCAGCCCCCTGCCCTGTGCTCTGCTGACAGCCCCCCTCCTGCAGGTCATCCAGAGGATCTTCTACACAGTCAACAGGTCCTGGTCCGGGAGGATCACCTGTGCAGAGCTCCGGAGGAGCACCTTCCTGCAGGTAGGCGGCCGCTGGTGGGGGCACAGGGCCTAACACTCACCTACCACCCATCCAAACTCACCCCCATCCATCCATCAATCCGTCCATCCATTCTTCCTTCCGCCTGTCCCAGAGGCACGGCCCGAGGGAGCCATGGATGGGGCCCCTCCACACTGAGGACAGGTGCTCACCTGCATGTGTTGGGGCCCAGCTGTGACAGTGTTCTTATCCCCAGTGCCATCCCCATTGGCAGTGGGCAGCCCTGACCCAGGTGCCAGGCTCCCGACCCTCAAGCAGGTCCTGGTCGCTCTGAGCCCTGCAGCTCCTGTGGGAGATTCTGGGGTCCCCCAGCGGAGGCCCATCCCGGGAACCACAGTGGTGTCTCGGGTTTGTGTGCAGAACGTGGCCCTGCTAGAGGAGGAGGCAGACATCAACCAGCTGACCGAGTACTTCTCCTATGAGCATTTCTATGTCATCTACTGCAAGTTCTGGGAGCTGGACACTGACCACGACCTGCTCATCGACCAGCAGGACCTGGCCCGGCACAACGACCACGGTGAGCTTGTGGCCGGGGCAGGTGGGGACACAGGCTGGCAGGCCATGCGTGGAGGGGACAGGTGGGTGGGGCAGGGTTCTCACCCCTGTACCTCCGAGGTAGGCTGAGGCCCTGGGACTGGAGAGCTCGGGGTGTGGGGTGTGGGCAGGATATTCTGGGGCACGGAATTTGCCCCAACTAGTCTCAGCATTTCAGACCCCACCTGCCCAGCTCCCTGTGAGGTGCAGCCTGGCACTGACCCCGTCTCTCCTGCAGCCATCTCCACGAAAATGATCGAGAGGATCTTCTCGGGAGCTGTGACGAGGTACGTCTCACGCAGGCTCATTTCCTCCGATGGTCGTGCGTGGCCGCATTGGTGTGCAAGTCCAGTTCCACCTCACAGAAGCTTGTGTTGTGGCATTGGGTGCCTGACGTCACAATGGGTCACACATGCAGCTGTCACTTTTCACATGAGGTCATTGGTAAGGGGAGACACATACCATTGCCACAGAACGTCATAAAGGGGGCATACATCTTGGCCATGTGAGGTTATTGGTAAGGGGACCCGTGGCGGTGGCCCGTGTCAGGCCCTGGGCGTCTGAGTTGCCCTGGAGCTGGGGCACCTGAGGTCTGTGAGGTGCTGTGATCGAGGCCCCAGCAGTTACTGCTCACCTGGGTTCCCAGGGAGCCTCCTCCACAGTTCAGAACTTCAGGCTCCTCCCCAGTGGGGACCAAGCAGCCCTGGGCAAATGCTGGGCTCTGCTCACCCAGCGGGTGGACGGGCTCCCGCCTGAGCTGCTCCCCCGACAGTGTCTCATCTCTCTATCCCACCCCTGAACCAGAGGTAGAAAAGTCCAGAAGGAAGGAAAGATAAGCTATGCCGACTTCGTCTGGTTTCTCATCTCTGAGGAAGACAAGAAAACACCGACCAGGTAGGTATTCGCTGTCCTGTGCTCCTGGTAGTGGGTGGGCAGCCCGGGCTAGAGGTCATCCCTGTGCGAGCGTGCGCCACCTGGGGCCCGTGCCAGGAGAAGCTCAATGCCAGCGGGTCAGTCCCAGGTGGACTTGGTCCTGGGAGGGGGGCCCGTCCTGCGGGGTGGTGTCAGTGCCTGGAGGGGGTCCATCCGGGGCGGCAGGCTCACCGAGGCTCCGCCCACCGTGTGGCAGCATTGAGTACTGGTTCCGGTGCATGGACCTGGATGGGGACGGGGCGCTGTCCATGTTTGAGCTCGAGTACTTCTACGAGGAGCAGTGCCGCCGGCTGGACTGCATGGCCATCGAGGCCCTGCCCTTCGAGGACTGCCTGTGCCAGATGCTGGACCTGGTGAAGCCTCAGAGTGAAGGTGATGCACTGTGCGTGTGTGGGGGTGCCCCGACTTGGGGGGCCCACTCTGGGAAGGCCATCCCCTCTCTGAGGTGGTGACAGCTGAGCAAGGCTGCAAGATGCTTGTTCCATGTCACTGGAGACCCCACCCAGGGCAGGGACAGCAGCACCCTTGTTTGGGGGCAGTTGCTATGTTTTGACACAGGTGAGGGTGGGTCCCATTCCTTCCTGTCCTCTCTACCCTCCCCCTCAGCCGTCCGCAAGGATGGGGTCCCATCCTGCAGGTAAGCTCACAGAGTCAGGAATCCAGTGTCTCCGACCACCGCACGCCCCTCTGCCTGTGCCCCTGGCTTTCCCATCTCACCCCTGCTGGGGGCGGTGTGGAGTCACCTGCCGCTGGGTCTCCCCCTCCTCAACCTGCTGAAGTCCAGGCCCTGCACTGGGACCCCCAGGTCAACCCGGGACGTCCTCACACCCTCACCTGAAAGGTTCCGCCAGGAGGTGGCCAAGGGTGCACCTTGAGGGACCCAGGACCCCTGAGGTCAGACAGAGTCTCTAGACTTGGAGGCCTCAGTGCCGTCTGTGGTGTGAATACTGTTGAATCCGGGGCCTTGGAATGAATCGTCCTGGGACCTGCTCCCCTTGCCCCGGTTCCCGCCTGCCCGAGTCCCCACAGCTCAGAGGACGCATGTGCAGCGCCCCCTGGTGGCCAGAGTTTCTCTTGTTCTGGTTCTGTCCACTGCTGGCCTCTGTGCACTGAGGTCCTTGTGGTGGCAGGGGCCCAGGGCTCTGTCCTCTGTCCCCATCCCTCCCCACCCCACCCAGGCTCCATCCATGCCTGGGACGACCTCCTGCACCCGTTTTTCACGTCACTCAGGGTGTGTCAGGAGACGTAGTTGTGCTTTTGAAGGCGTGAGAGGGGCCCTGTGCGAGGGCTGCCGGCGTGACTGTCCCACCCCTGTCCTCCCACAGGGAAGATCACACTCCGAGACCTCAAGAGGTGCAAGCTCGCCAATGTCTTCTTCGACACCTTTTTCAACATTGAGAAGTACCTGGACCACGAGCAGAAGGAGCAGGCGTCCCTGCTCAGGGTGAATGTGTGGGGCGGGGTGTCCCTGCTCAGGGTGGGCGAGCGAGTGGGGCAGGGTGTCCCTGCTCAGGGTGGTAAGTGAGCGGGGTGGCGCATCCCTGCTCAGGGTTGGTGAGCGAGCGGGGCCGGGAGCCTGTGGGGCCGTGCTGCTGGCCGCGTCCACCCCGTGTGACATGTATGTCCCACGCAGGAGACGGAGACTGAGGGCCCCGAGCTGTCGGACTGGGAGAAGTACGCAGCCGAGGAGTATGACATCCTGGTGGCCGAGGAGGCTGTGGGGGAGCCCTGGGATGACGGGTGAGCGGGGCCATGGGGACAGGGATGCCTGGAGGACGGGAGAATGGGTGAGTGGGCACGGAAAGAGGGAGATGGGACAAGCAGGCCGAGGTGGCAGGAGCTTGTTCCATGCACTGCCAGTGTGTCCCGGGAACAGGCACCGCAGTCCCTTTATTCACCAAGCGACGGACGGCCTTTGGCCGGCCCTCCGCGCTTCCAGCTTTAGGCAGCTTGACACCAAAGTCACCCTGAGACGTCCGCACTGGTTTCCGTGTGGCTGTAAGTCTTCACCTGGGCAGATGCCTGGGAGAGGTTCTGGGCCCTGGGGTCAGGTGGCTGCCCCTTGTCAGTGGTGCACCGTCTGGTCCCTGCCAACCTGGGGCAGTTCCCCCAGCTGCTCGTCCTCGCCCACCCCGCCCCCCGCGATTGTGTGGACTGTTAATTCCCACTATGGTCGTCCCAAGTTGGAGTTGTGTTCGTACACGGCGGCGTCTGTGGGTCTTGTTTGGTGCGATTCCACCTTTCCCGTCTCCAGTTTGGATCTTTTTTTATTATCGAGCCTCGAGGCTTCTTCTGGACACGCCCTTTATCGGGGTGCGGTTTGCCACTGTTCTGCCCCAGTCTGGGTGTCTGTCCTCACCTCCTTCTGACTTTGATGGGCCGGTGACCCACGGGTCCCTTTCATTGGCCGTCTGAGAGATTGCAGCTGAACCAAAGCCAGTTGGAGGGTCACCTTGAGTCTGTGTGCTTTTCACTAGGTTTCCCTGTGACGCGAGGACACAGGTTCTGTCTTTAACGCACGTGGGTGTCTGATTGCTCCAACTCCATGTTACATGAAGGCACCAGAGGCTCTGCATCTTTTCTAAAAACCACCGGCCTCTGGACCCCTCACCATGCCCCTTGGGTCCTCCCTGAGCCCGTGTCCCCACCACGTACCCCCTCGTGCCCCCAGTGGCCTCCTCGCGCTCTCACCGCACCCCCCCTGCAGGTATGAGGCGGAGCTGAGCCCCGTGGACCAGAAGCTGAGCGCCCTGCGGACGCCCCTGGCCCAGAGGTCCTTCTTCGAGACGCCGTCTGCGCTGGGCGCTGTCCACCTGTATGACTACGAGTGCGAGTGTGATTGCAGCGACGAGGACCTGCAGCCCTCCTGACCCCCCGCCCCCGAGGGCCCACCCGGGCGGCGGCCGCGGGCGGCGGCCTCTGTGTGGAAACAGACCTGTGTTTGATGGTGTTGGCGGCTGAGCTTCTACAGACCTGAGCTGTGTGTACAGAACGACAAGTCCTATTTATTCAACATGGGGGCTGGTGGAGGGGGTCCCCGCAGGCAGTGTCACCGTGGCCCGGTGGGCAGAGGAGATGCCGGTACCCGCTGGGGACTCCCCGCACGTCGGGCCCCTCAGCTCACTGTCCGGCTTCCGAGTGGAGGTGTTTGGAGACAGATGGGTCCTGGCTGGGTTCACGCTGGAGGGAGCTGATTTCTGCCCTGTGCTGTGACCTGCACTGACCATGGGCGTGGAGACTGCCTGCTCCTCAGCAGTGACGTGTCCCGGAGCTGCCCCTCCTACCTGCACGCTCGCCCCTGCACAGGGCTGCCCCCTCGGGTACCCGTGTGACCACTTCCTCCTAAATGTACAAAACCTGTAAAGTTAACTTTTATTTGCCGTGTAGAGCGATTTTAAAACATTTTAATAGATCACATTTGTATTTTCAAATAAATAATTTAAGGATTTCCAGCCTCAGGCTCTGCTCATCCGGCCGGCCTCCCACAGAGCAGGCTCTCAGGCCCTGGGGTGCAGGTCCTGTCACATCGGCTCTGGTTCCCTGAAACAAGACTGGCTCAGGGGAGACACCTTCTGGTCAGCAGCTCCACTCAATGTCCTCATTAAGCCGAGTGGCACAGATTCAGTGGCCCCTCTGGGAGAACCTTAAGGTACAAGCTCTGAGCCCCCCAACCGCCGGTGAGCAGGGTCCTCCCTCCTGCAAATGTACCTTAGAGCCTCCTTTCCCCCCTTTGTCCGTCCCACTGGCCTCCTGGCCTCTGTCCCCACACCCCGCCCCGCACACTGGGCATGGATGCTCCCCCTCAGGAGCAGGAAAATCACCTGCAGTCCCCTCAGCCCTCAGCTGGGCGGCTGTCACCTGCTTGAGGCCTGCAGAGCGCCGTGGCCTGAGGCGCCTGCCCACAGCGCGCTGACCTTTGTCCTGCCCGAGCAGCTCTGTGAACACACAGGAATCTGCCTAAACCTCTTCCAGGGGGTTCCAGCCCCAGGTCTGATGGGTGAACGTCGACTCTTAAGTTCAACAGCAAAGGGAGACGTCGTGACGCCCACTTGGTCCAGACCCCACTGGGAAACTCCCTCTTGGACCAGCCTCGGGCCACAGGACCACATCGTCCTGAGTTCTCAGGATGCGCCAGCATAATCCCTGTCCCCAAGTGCTTGTCAGGCCCCAACACCATGTCCCCTGCTGGTTTTGCCTCCGGGTCACACCCACCTCAACTTTGGGTCCCACCCTGCGGGGTGTAGGGTAGAAGCCCCATCCCCAGAGCTGGAAGCTCAGGAAGCACACGGCCTGGCTGCGTAGCTCAGTTGGTTAGAGCATTGTCCTGATACACCAAGGTTGCGGGTTCGATCTGTGGTCAGGGCACATACAAAAAGCAGCCACTGATGCATCAGTAAGTGGAGCAGCAAATCCATGTTTCTCCCTCTGTATCTGTCTCCCTCCCTCTCCCTCTTTCCCCCTTCCTCTCTCTCTAAATCAATAAATAACAATTTAGGAAATAAGTACAGATAATTTCTCTGCAGGGACTGAGTGGGGTGCCCTGGTCATCGGTGTCTCTCCCCCCATCCCCCTTTGTTCCAAGATGAACCCCACGTCCAGAGAAAGCTGTGGGCAGGACGGTCCCACGCTGACTCCTGCTGCATCCCGGGCTCTGAACCCCGCCATAGTCCTGGGCTCCCTCCCCTCCCCCTATGCATTGACCTAACACCTTTGGGGCTCATCTGCCTGCCTCTCGATTCCAAGGACGGGTGCCCAGCCCTGTGAGGAGCCAGCAGCTCAGCCACCCAGCCGAGAGGGAGCCTTTCCCCAAATCGGAGCCCCTCGGAATCCCACTGACATGTGAGAGCTCCTTATGCATCTGCCATTTAATTGTTTTTCTCTCAAAGTCAATAAATAAAAATTTAAAAAGGAAAGCAAGTGCTTGGGTGCCAGGGGTTGGGGAGGGCGTGGAGTCTTTGACCTGATGGGAAGGTCGTGGGCTGGTGCCCATGGCTGCCAACCCTGAGAACGTACCCACAGCCCCAGGCTCTGCCTTGAAACAGAGTCGGCACAATAAATGGTATGTTATGGGCATGTTGTTATTACAGTTAAAAATGAGAAGTTTTATAAATGACATCTTGCTCATTGAGCTTCCATTCTGATCCCACTTTGTTACAAATGTGCCAGGCCCTCTGTGCATGTCCTGCAAACTGCTGTGAGGACCAGCTTGCTGCAGTGGGGTATCATCTATACTCTCCCATAGTGCATGGGGACCACCCTTTAGGGGGCTGCTCTGTCCTGTCTGAGCTTCCGGGAGGACCCGGACAGCAGGGTGCCTCCCCCAAATAAGAGCAGGACAGACTCCGACCCCTTAGTGGTCCCTCTCCCCATGTCATTAGGACGAGACCTAAGAAAGGAGAAAATACCCGGCTGATGTGGCTCTGGTTGAGCATTGCCCTATGGTCCAGGAGTTCATGGTTCGATTCCCAGTCGGCGCACATGCCCGGGTTGTGGGCTCGGTCCCCAGTAGGGGGCGTGCAGGAGGCAGCCCATCAGTGACTCTCATCATTGACATTTCTCTCTCTCTCCCTCTCCCCCTCTCTCTGAAATCAAAACATTTGAAAAAAGGGAAAGGACTGGTTCAGGGCAACACCCCACATTCAGGTCTTGGAGCAATCAGAAAGGAGCAATGTGCAGACGGGGTTTCTCAGGGACATGAGACAACCAGAAAAATTGGGAGACACCAATAGGCTCCATATCCCTGCCCCTAGGGTCCTAAGTGCTACTCACCAGATGACCCGCCTTCCAGACCCTCTCGAGTGGGCCCATGTCCGCAGGAGGAATCCACAGGCCTGAGCACAGAATCTCTTCTGTCAATGGGCCCTCCCGCCCCACTCCACGTGCCCAGCAATCAGTTGATCAGGAAAACCTGCCGCACGCCCTGTTTGTGCTGCATGAATTTGGTCAAAATTACCCAGTAGGCCCACCTGCCGTCTCCACGAGACCCCAGGAGACCCCACGGGAAGGGGGGCCCCACAGGGAGGCACAAGACAGAGGCAGGAACCTAGAAGGTGTGTCCAGGGCCCATGCAGTCACCGACGCCCAGCGGTTATCAATTGGGCAGGTCCCCCTGTGCCACTGCACCCCAGCTCCACCCATGTATGTGTACGTGTGTGTATATGGGACTGGACGGATATAGACCAAAATCTCAGGCTACCTGTGTGGTCACATTCTAAGTGGCTTTTATTTCCTTTCTGCACCTAATTACAGGAATACGTCACTTTTTCCCTCAGAGCACATAGTACGATTTAGAGTCCGAGTGACGAGTAAACGCGACCAGGTTCTCACTGTCACCAATCCTCTAATAATGAGCATTTGCAAACACTCCCTTGGAGACTGTACTTGGGGTTTCATCACATCTTGGCCAGACCTTCCATGTAGATGAAGGAAACTCAGATTTCTAAACGAGGCCCTTGAGGCTGTAAACCAGGTAATGAGTGGCCCAGCCAACCACAAACTCATGAAACCCTCCGCAGGGGTACAGACATTCCAGCCCCGGGACTTTAAATACAGGGTTCTGCACTAGACATTCTGACATGTTGGTCAGTCGAGGGAACAAAGTTGCCCACGTCAGACCAGGGACCTCGAGGTTTCCCCATGGACCCATCCACCCACATTCCTTGTGCAGTCCGGAGCAGCAGGGGGACCAGCCAGAAGCCACGGACATTTCTGCACATTTAAAAAGGAACGTTTGGATTAAAACTGTCCTGCGTGAAAACAAGACTCCCCCCGACCCTCACCCAGTGACAGCTGGGATTTCTGTGCCCCTTTGAAGGCTGCACTTTGTTTTGCAGAAAGGAGACCGCTGACAGCAGTCTGAACAGGAGGGGCACTTTCTTTTTAAAAAATGTTCTTATTGATTTCAGAGAGAGGAAGGGAGAGAAACATCAGTGATGAGAGTCATGGCTCAGCTGCCTCCTGCTCGCCCCTGACGGGGGATCGAGCCCACAACCCAGGGCATGTGTCCTGGCCTGGAATCGAACCCTGACCTCCTGGTTCCTGGGTCTAAAATGGGCGCTTTATAAACACCAGCCCACCTCTCTCTGCTGCACGCAGTGGGCTCTGCTATCATTGCCCAGGACACAGCGACCAGCTGGGTTTGTTCGGGACCCCTGGCGATGGCCTCTGATGCCCAAGGCAAGGTCTGGGGCCCCTGGCGACAGAATCGCAGCCCCAAGGATGAGTCTGGGACCCACTGGGCGCACTTGGCACACCCTCCCCCAAGCGCTCTTAGACGCCCAAATCTGGATCAGGGACCCCCAGGACTGCGATAGGACCCCCCAAGGCAGAGTCTGGGACCCCTTGGGGGCACTTGGACCCCCAAAGGTGGGCCAGGGAACCCCAGGAATGGGGTGGGATCCCTAGGGGACACTTGGACGCCCAAGGCTACATCTGGGACCCCTGGGGGGCGCTTCGACCCCCAAGCCTACATCTGGGACCTCCAGAAATTGGATGTGACCCCCCCCAAGGCAGAGTCTGAAACTCCGGGGGCACACAGACCCCCAAGCTGGATCTCGGACCCTCTAGGAATGGGATGGGAGCCCCAAGGCAGAGTCCGGGACCCTCGGGGACAGGGTAGCACCCCAAGGCAAAATCTGGGACCGCCAGGGATGCAATGGGACCCCCAAAACAAAATCTGGGGCCCCCGGGACAGGGATGGCACCCAGGACCGACCCCCGACCTCGCGCAGAGGCCAGGAAGGCGCCAGGTGGAGGGAGCGCCCGCCGAGGGTCNTGCCCAAGGCAAGGTCTGGGGCCCCTGGCGACAGAATCGCAGCCCCAAGGATGAGTCTGGGACCCACTGGGCGCACTTGGCACACCCTCCCCCAAGCGCTCTTAGACGCCCAAATCTGGATCAGGGACCCCCAGGACTGCGATAGGACCCCCCAAGGCAGAGTCTGGGACCCCTTGGGGGCACTTGGACCCCCAAAGGTGGGCCAGGGAACCCCAGGAATGGGGTGGGATCCCTAGGGGACACTTGGACGCCCAAGGCTACATCTGGGACCCCTGGGGGGCGCTTCGACCCCCAAGCCTACATCTGGGACCTCCAGAAATTGGATGTGACCCCCCCCAAGGCAGAGTCTGAAACTCCGGGGGCACACAGACCCCCAAGCTGGATCTCGGACCCTCTAGGAATGGGATGGGAGCCCCAAGGCAGAGTCCGGGGCCCTCGGGGACAGGGTAGCACCCCAAGGCAAAATATGGGACCGCCAGGGATGCAATGGGACCCCCAAAACAAAATCTGGGGCCCCCGGGACAGGGATGGCACCCAGGACCGACCCCCGACCTCGCGCAGAGGCCAGGAAGGCGCCAGGTGGAGGGAGCGCCCGCCGAGGGTCCGGGCCGGAGCCTGCTCGCCTGCGGTGTTTCCCGTCGCGGGCTCCACGCGGAGCCCCCCGCGCCGAAGAGAATCACATCCCCGCTCGGGCACCGCGCGCTCCATCGCCCCAGCCAGCGACCGCAAGTCAATCAGGCAGCGACGAGCACGTGACACCGCGCGGCCAATGGGGAGTCCGTACGTGGCACGTCCCCGAGGCCCCGCCCCATGGCGTTCGCCACGCGCGGGATGTGGACCCTGCGGGCCGCCGTCCGCCCGGGGGCCTGGCTCTCTCGCGTGGTCAGGGGCCGC